TTTTTCCTTCCTACTCAACACATCACTCTGGGCTCTCCTTCATGGCTCTGGCCCCCTCTGCTAATGGCTTTTAAGTCTTTAACTCAGGTTTTCTGTGCTGTCTGTATTTCCATTCTCTTTGTGTGTGTGTGTGTGTGTGTGTGTGTGTGTGCGCGTGTGTGTGTGTGTGTGTGTTTCCCCAACTGGACATTTGACACTGTCTGAATGTCCCATGGATCTCTCGTACACCACATATGAAGAACAGACCATGTATTATCCAACTTTCTTCTGTGCCCTGTCTCTGTGAGTGGTGTTTATCATGAGCCCACAGCCTGGAAACCTCAGTCTCACTTACTTCTTCCCTTTCTCTTGCCCTTAGCACTTATTTGTCTCTTACTCTGTGATGGTATCTCTTAAAAAGTTGTCAAATCTTTCTCCTCTTTTGATAACTACCTTAAAATGAGGTTCTTTCCATCTCTTGCCTGGACATCACAACTAGCCTCATCATCTGTCATAGAGCCCAGTTTTGATATTTGTTTGTTTGTTTTATTTTGTTTTGTTTAGTTTTTTTTTTCATAGGGTTTGTTCACTCTCTGAAACAGAGATATGAGAGAGGAAAAGTGAGAAGTCATCCCCCAGTGGGCATGGCCATGCCACAATCCCTTCTCTGTTCTCCTCCTGGGATTTTGGACACACACTAATATATACCCAGCTTGATTTTCAAGCTGCCGGGTCCAGTACTCAAACTGCAGACAGCCATACAGGAATCCAGAGCTTAACCACTACACCACCTGGTGGACCCTTAGAGCCCAGGTTTTATCATCATTTTTGTCTCAAATATAGACAGAGTCCACATCTTCTCTTCCTTTAGCCACTTTCTCTTAAAGCTTATTTATTTCATGAGAGAGAGAGAGAAGCACTGCCAATAGGATGTCATGCCACAATCCCCTCCGACTTTCCTAGCCTGCATCATGAGTACACACCTTACATGTACAGGCTGAGCAGGGACCAGAATTCGTGATCTTCCAAATGGGTCCATCTTTGATTGAGCGGCATGTTATCTCTACACCACTGAGCTGGCCTAGCCATGGAACCTTTACAAAGTTCCTACATTCTCAGACTCACTGTCCTCATCAGTAGATTAGAAATCATAATAATACCTTCCCTATGAGCTTGTCAGGAGACTCGGTGGAAAAGTTAATAGACTGTGTAAAGCACTTCACAGGGATCCCAGCACACAGTATGTGCTAAATAATAGTGGCTATCATTAAGTTCGTTTCTGGGCCCATCCTTGTGCCACCCACTTTCTAGGTAAAACTGAAAAACCATGGTTCAGATCTTATTATTTTCCCTCTTGATGTCTCTTCTTGTTGCTCAGAGGTAAAAATCTAAGCTCAAGAGAACCAGGGTTGCATGATGATTTTTGAGGGCCCTGGGCACTTTCACCCACCCTCAAGGGTCCTTCCTCCATTAAAAAAAATAATTAAAATGTATATTTTATGACTGTTTCTGTTATTGCCTTGAATGCTCTTTGAAGAGCTCATATTCTAAAATGACAAAACTCTTGATTTCTGGGTTTAGTGAAAATTAGAACTACAAGCACTTGTGTAGTTCAAGGTTCTGGGTTAAGATTCCTCTTTTTTCCTTTACTTTGAGCTCATAGAGAGACCATGTTCATGGTTGTTTCATTGTGTGGATCCTTGGATTTTTCTTTTGCAAATAGTCCCACCTTTCTGTCAGAGTATATGTGTAAAGAAATCCAGATACTTGGGTTTCAATTCTATTGGTCGTCGGGAAAGTCATGATGCATTTTGGCATAGAAAAATATGTCATGACTTTTCTGATGGCCCAGTATTTCTCCTGTATCCTGTGTGTGTTTGAGCTCTGAAACCCCATTCTTTAGTTAATGAGCATGCATCTGTCACTCTCTCAGCAGACATAGACCAAACTCCTGATTTTAACTTATCTCTAGGGATTTCCCTCCCTTTCTTGCAAACTGTTATATATTTTAACTATTTTTAAATCATTTTGTTGGTTTGGCCATGGTAGTGTGGTCTGGCTGACATTGCTCCTGAGCAGACTGAGGCCACATATGAGGCCTGGGTTCAATTCCTGGCCTACCCTGTAATGCTGGGCCCAATGCTATTCGCCTATGGTCCCAGCTACTCAGGAAACTAAGATGAGAAGATTGTGACATAGCAAAATTCTGTCAAAAAAAAGTTATTTTATATTATTTCTTTAGGTGTTTTAGTACATTTACAGATGTTTAGCCCTCCATCCTATAGGAAACAGAATAGTCTATCAAAGAATTTTCTTTTTTTTTTTGGAGAGATTTTCACTTTTTTTTTTGGAGAGGTTTTCGCTATAGGGCGCGTGCGCTTGCCAGACAGACAGAAAGAGACAGAGAGACAGAAAGTGAGAAATCACCCCCCAGAGGGGATGGTCACGCCGCAATCCCTTCTCCTCCATTCTCCTCTCGGGATCTTGGGCACACACGCACACGCGCCTGGCGTGAGTTTTAAGCTACCAGGTCTGGGACGCGAACTGCGGTCGACTACGTGGGAGTCCAGCGACATAGCCATTATGCTACCTGCTGGTTCCCTCAAAGAATTTTCTTTATACGTTTATTGAGAAAGTTTACTCATTCCATATATTTCCCCTATTTAAAAGTATACAGTTTAGTGGCTTGTATATTCACCAAATTATACAACTATCACCGTAACATTTCCATAGCACCCCATAACATTTCCATTGCCCCCGAAGAAACCCCATGGACATTAACGGTCACTCCCCATTTTCTCCCCAGATCACCACCAGTCATAAGCAAAGTGAATGTACTTTCTGGCTCTGTAGATTAAGCTACTCTCTGTATTTATATAACAGAATTGCACACTATGTGGTGCTTCGTGACTAGCTTTGTTTACTTGGCATAACATTTCCAAGGTTCATATTGCAGCATATGTCATTACTTTCTTCTTTTTTAATTGCCAAATATCCCACTGTATGGATATACAGGGAATTGTTTGCCCAGTCATCGCTTGATGGACATTAAGTTAATATGGATAATGTGGCTGTGTGCAAGTTTTTGTGTGGACATACGTTTCCATGTCTCTTGGGTAATTACCTAGGAATGGGATAGCTGTATCATATGGTAACTATGTCTGGCATTTCAAATAATAGTTGAGATGTTTTCCAGAGTGGCTGCACCATTTTGCATCCCCACTAGTAGTACTCTATCCCAAGTGAGCTTAAAACCAAACACAGGTGTGCATCCTTGACATGGGAAGAGTCCTTATAGGTCTGTGAGCATGGTAAGTGTGATGCTCTTGGAACTGTTACACCTTGATGTGGGATGAGAGATTAAAGATGAGGAAGTAGGTAGGAAATGTTGGGGTAATCTACTGATAATTCTCAGTTGTTAGAGTCTCTACTGGGATAGTGGCAGGGAGAAGAGATGTCAGAGTTTCTGAAGAGCCTATTAGACAGTGGAAATGATTCCCTGGCAGAAAGATGATGTTCATCTGAGATCGACTGAGCTGTTTGCTCAGGCTTGGTATTGTATAAAATAAATTTCTGTTTTCAGAGAAGAAACAGAAATGAGAATCCAATTTTACCATTATGTGATGGAGATCCTTCCAGGTCCAAGCAGATAATGTTGGCCTCTGACTCCTGGGGATGTCTCCTAGAGGGTTGTATCCTTCTAGGATCTATACGCTGCCTACTATGAAAGCTGAGGGAGTCTTTCTGTCAGCAGCAACAATGAAATACTGGATATTGGATTTCAAGCATTTAAATGGATCAAGTGCCATGAGTGTGTGTGTGTGTGTGTGTGTGTGTGTATCCATGCATGTAAATGTGTGAGTGTGTACTGAATAGTTCGAGCTTTCCAAATGGCAAAAGTGGATAAGAGCCCCTAACAACAAAAGTTTTCTAGCTAAGTAGTAAAACCTCCCATAACTCTAGGATTTAAAAATTGACCATCAAGCTGTTTATCATATAATGGAACCATAGGTATAAAGCCACCTCCATCCTGGGAACTTGCAATTGCTCAGTGAGGCTTGTTACAATGGCCTCCTACTCTACTTTGCATAGTTATCACCTTTATGGGTTATTTCTTTTTCCCCTCTGTGATTTATTCTAAAACATGTTGTATTTCTCTTTGCCATTTAGATGAAATTTAAATAAAACCATTAGGTAAAGAGCTGTGTCAGACTGTTACACACTTTTAACTCGTGATAAAAATCAATCTGTATGTCATTCTCTGTTCGAGTGAAGTAAAAACACCTGCAGTTTGACAGTGACCTGTTACTTGTTCTTATCCTTATCCCAGGCTCCTCCTGGCATATTTTACATTATTGTAATTGTCCCTCTGATAAAAGAAAACAGGCCCAAATCATAGCCCCAGTTGTCCCATTAATGGTGTCTTCCTTGGTCCTTCCTTCTCCCTATTTAGTAGGTCTTTCCCCCACCCTTTTTTCTTTTTTAAAAATTTGCCTGAGGCACATGTGCTCTCAGGAAAGACACACACACACACACACACACACACGTACACAGGAAGAGAAAGTGAGAAAGCACTCCTCAGGAGTGCTGACCACACCACAATCCCTTCATCTTTCTTTTCTTTTTGGATTTCGGGTGTGTGCGCATACATGCACTCAGTATGATTTTCAAGCTGCTGGAATCAGGACTGAAACCACATAGTCGACCATATAGGATCCAGTCTCCTTAACCAGCATGCCATGGGATGGCCCAGTCTTCCCCATGTATCTGCTCCCAGCTCACTCCAGTTCCCAAAGGAGAGAGAGAATCCTAATTGAGAATCAGTCTTTAGCCCTACAACTCATGGTTGCCTTGACCTCCCTCTCAATAGAAATGGTTTCAGGACATTTACCTGGGTGGATAAATGGAGTGTACATCTTTTTCTGTAATGTTGAAATTTCCACTGAAGCTGTATCTGAGGCTGAGACACGCATTTTGGTATGATGATTTTCACATCATCCTTTTTTCCTCCCTTTTTCTAGGTTTATCCAAATCGCTTGGGCTCATTGAAGGTTATGGTGGGCGAGGCAAAGGAGGCCTTCCTGCTACCCTTTCCCCGGCGGAAGAAGAAAAGGCCAAGGGACCTCATGAGAAATATGGATACAATTCCTACCTCAGTGAAAAAATTTCACTGGATCGTTCCATTCCAGATTATCGGCCTACCAAGTAAGTTCTGATTCCGTCATTCAGAGAGCTTGCTTGGTTGTGTGGGTGGGTATAGTTGCCAAATCTGTGATGTTTCTCATGTTATTTGTAGCTAGCAGGTGGGGTTTATATCTTTTTCAGTTTTCTCCACAATCAATAAACTGAGGACTACCGTTGCTTATGACATATTAAATGAAAATGCTAAATTGTTATAAAACTGATCTAGAGACATAAAGTCCTCAATGCAAAAAGTTTCAAAATATAACAAAGAGATCTCATTACCTAGAGATAGTAGCTGTTAAAGTTTTACATTAATTCCTTTGAGTCTTGTCTATAAAGAATATGAACATATGCTATATTATTTTTATCTTTTTAATTTAACATTTTACCCTGAACATTTCTGATGTGGTTGATTATTAATATTTCTATCATTGGAAATTTGGGTTATTTTAATTTTTTCTTTATCATATATAACACTGATAAGTATTTTTGCATATCTTTATTTATATTGAACTGATATATGTATTTCCGTAGTCCACACTTCTAAAAGTGCACTCCTAAGATTACAGTACAGGAAGCTCTAGATATATGTTTGAATAGTGTCCTCCAGAAAATGTATAGCAACGTATACTCCTATTGAAACTTTTCTAGACACTTCCCATACTGGGTACTAGTATTTAAAAAATGCAATGCCAAGTTGATAGATTAAAAAGTAAGTCCCATTATTGTTTCTTTTTCCTTTTTTCTTAATTAACATATCATAATTGCACATATTTGTGGGTACAATGTGATTTTCAGTACAAGAATGCAATTTGTGATGATTAAACCAGGGTGATTGGTATACCCTTCACCTCAATATTTGTCATTTCTTTCTATTGGGAACATTCAAAATTCCTTTTTTTAAAAAAAATTACTTTGAGATATGCAAGAGATTGCCCTTAGCCATATTCACCCTACAGTATTCTATAACAGTAGAAATTATTTCTTTTATCTGTCTGTAATTTTGTTTCCATTAATCAACATCATCCTAACCATCCCAGCTCCCTGAAGTCAAATTGTTTCCGCTTACTTTTTTATTCCACATTCTTCCATTTGAAAAGGTTTGGTTGCATCTTGATTAGCTTATGAAAGCCTTTATTCTGTGCTCAGAGTTGAGAAATATTTATTTTCTCCCTGTGAAATACAGAAAAGAGGTTGGACATAGAATGAATATGCTAGAGGAAAAGCTCCTGTTTTCTAGGCAGGGTTCCACCTTGGCTTCTCAAACAGTTTTCTGTTTTCTGTCCGATTTGTAGTCGGTCTCTCTTCTCATTTAGAGTGTGCCCTTGCTTGGAGTAGATTATTTCTTTTTCAAATGGATTTTGTACAAATCAGTTAAGTATCCTGGTTACTGAGAAAAATAGATTCAAGATAAAGAAAATTATCTTAAATGGATTTAAAATTGCGGCATTAGCTGAGAAACCTGTTAAATCTCTCTCTGTGTCTAATAAGCATATATTCATTTTGAATCACTAGGAAAATATACATCACCCCCGTTGGCAGCTATTTTGTGTTCCTGGACTTTTGCTCACAAAAACATCTGGCTGTTTTCATTTCCTGGTGCTCGCTGATTAGCCTGTCTTATTTGGATGTTGGCAAATAAACATGGCCATATTTTTTACACTTCCGTGAGGATGAGAATGCCTCCAACATAGAGCTCACTGGAAATGGGTCATTTGAACAAGTATTAGTGAGCACCCCAGAGTTCTGCCAGAGGTTTTCCCCACGCTAAAGATAGAACGTTGCAGGAGATATGGTTCTTGTGTACTTACTTCTTAACTGGAGAAGAAGACAGATAAGCAGAAGTAGGTTAGTTTCATTTGGGTGCTCTTCGTGTGTGTGCCTGGCAACAGATATGTGTAGGATGTGCAGGGAGGGTCTGAGAAAGTTTCCTACTTGAGACTATGCCTGGTCTCAATCTTCAAGGGCCTTGGTGATCCAGGAAGGGGGAACAGCAAGAATATATTTGTCTGTGTGTGTGCGGGCGGGGCGGGGGGGCAGGATAGTGTCAGTAAAATTATGACATTGTGTGCTCAGGGAGGAATGCATAGCTTGGGAATGCTGTGTGCTATGACATGATAGCTTGAATATACCATTTATGTCTGGTCTTTTCTGAAACTCTACTGACATGACAATAAAGGAATAGTGAGGATGAAAGTGAAGGAAACCTGGATAGGTTAGGGATGACAGCAGAGAAGAGACACCTGTAAGATTTTAGAAGCTGGAGAGAGGATGGAGAATGGTAACTGATAGAGCAAACTGCTTGAGGTGGGGAGAGGAGATGGCTTAGTCAGTACCTCAGAGACTCAGAAATTGGAGAATCTAGGCATTTCTGATGGCTGGGAGGTAGATTTGAACGAAGGGATTCCAGATCATTTCCATCAGCTCTGCACAGCCAGAGACTGTCCTCTTGCACTTGTTAGAATGTGGCAGATTGGGACCAGCAGTTGGCGTAATGGCTATGTCGCTGGACTCCCATGTAACCGACTATGGTTTGAGTTGTGGCCCCAGTGGCTTAAACTCATGCCAGGTGCATGTGTGTGTGTGTGCCCAAGATCCTGAGAGGAGAATGGAGCAGAAGGTATTGCGGCATGGCCATCCTCCCTGGGGGATGATTTCTTGTTTTCTGTCTCTCCAGTGAACACATGCACCTAAAGGGCCCACACCCTATAGCAAAAACCTCTCCAAAAAAAAAAAAAAAAAAAGAAAAGAAAAAGAAAGGAATGCAGGAGATTGCTCATTGGAGAACGTGAACTTTGGCTCTAGTTCATGGAGGTATCCTAGGATAGTAAGGCTGCGTACTAAATAGGGAGGTTCTCCAATATCATTACTCTCACCCCTCCCAGGCTATCTCATACCCAACAGGAGTTGGAAGAGTCTACTCAGAAGAGACCATTCAGCCAAGGAAAAGTCAATAGATCTGATTGGGGTACCCCAGTATAGCTTGGTTCTCCTCATTAAGTATTAATATGGCATGCCTGGTGTAAGCTCCATCCTTCTACACAAAGCTGTCTTACTCTAAAATAAGAAATGAACAGCAGATTCCCTAGACATCTCAGCAAATTCTTTGTTAAAAATATCTTAACAACAACCATAATTTAAAAACTAGAATTAATGACTTCAAGAGATCATGAAATTTAAAAATTATTTTTATTCATGATACAGGGCACATGTACAGGTAGA